TCCTGCCTAGGTAGCACAGGCCTGTGGGTGGGCAGGTGGCAGTGGCTGTGCCCTCAGATGATGTTGCCAACCATGCAGGGCCCCCAGTGCCAGCAATGCAGGGCACTCAGTGGGGTCTGCAGTGCCAGTGACGTGGGGTCTGCGATGCCGACAATGCAGGGCAGCGCCAGTGATGTGGGGTCTGAGGTGGCACCAGTGTGGGGGCTGTGGTGGCAGCGGTGCAGGGTCTGAGTTGCCAGCAATGTCAGCTGCAGTGCCAGGGATGCAGGATCCAGGCATGAATTCCCTGCAGCCCGGTCTCATGGGTCTCAGCCCAGCCACTGGCACTGGGCACATGTGTCCCCACACTGTCCCCTGGCACCGCCTGCTTCTGCCCTGCCCAGAGCCTGGAGCAGGCAGAAGCTGAGCTGTATCAGATGGTTCTCCAGCACCCAACAGCAAGAAAGCCATCACCTGCCTGCACAAGGGTGCCTGAAGCTGTTGCCCAGCCCCACACCCGCCACCTCACTCAGACATGAAGCCCCGGGACGGGAACATGTGGACACAGGAGCACGTCCCACATTCCAGACAGCCTGGGAGGCAGCAGGACTGCACCAGTGCTTGGTGGGACTGTGAGGGACAGGGACAGCACCCAACAAAGAGGGTCTGCTCTGCTCTTGCTTTGCTTCCTTCTCGCCTGGCCATGTCCTGCCCCACACCATGTCCGTGTGCTGGGAGCAGGATTTGGGGTGGTGCAAGGATGCAAGGTGCAAGGATCTGCAAGGATCTCAGCCAGGCAGAGCTGGGAGCACAGGGACACGTCTGGAGCAGGGCCAGCACGGAGCTGAGGTTGGTGCTGACACCAGAGGGTGGTGTGGTCTCATGCAGGAAAGCCACTGCTGGGGACACTTCCCTGCTCTGACACATTTGTAAGGAGACAACTTGGAGACAAGCTCACCTTTATTTTTTTCATAGAGATTTTTAATGTTTATTTTTTAACAGACTTGGTTTAAACTTTTTGTTTTCTACAATAATTCAATGTAAAAATCCCAGTACAATATACAACAGTTTGAACATTTTGAGTAAGAAATCCAGCTTGGGGAGACACGTAAGTTCAGCTAGTTCCTAACACAGGTAGCAAATTCCCTCCCCCAGATTTCCCAGCCAGGAAGGCATTTGGGCAGGAATGTCACCCCCATCCCATCAAGACACTGGCTGCCCTGTCCCTGCCTGTATTGCAGTGGGACAGTCCCTCAGACACATCCCATTGGAAAGGGCAGGGTCCCCTCCATGGGATGGCTGGGAGCCTCCAACATTGGAAGGCAAAGTCTGCAGAGAAGCGAGGCTGGTTGGCCCTTGTGCGTGAGTGACATGGGATGCTCTGAAGAGGCCCTGTGTGCAGGTCCCTCAGGGTATGGGGCTCCTTGGGATGGAGAGGAGACCTGTCCTTCCCTTGGCAGCAGTGCCAGCAGCCCTGTGCCCTAGAGCAGCCTTAAGGCCATTGGAAGGGGATGGCCACGGCTCTGCATGGACCAGCCCAAGGGAAGGAAACCAAAGATGATGCAAGGATCCCTGGCTCTAGGGTCTGAGGGAACATCTCAGGGATAGCTCACTGGCCTGGGAGCTGGCAGTCTTTTAGGAAGCCACTTTGGCCTGGCCCATGGTGCTCAAGCAGCCTTGGGATAGTTCTACTTGAACAGCCTGGAATGGATCTGCTAAAATGACATGGGGTGGTCCTGTTTGGGCAACATGGGAAGGTTCTGCTCCACCACGCTGGATGATCCTGCTCAAGCAGCCTGGATAGGTCCTGCTCAAGCAGCACAGGGTGCTGCTGCTCAAGCAGTGAGGGATGGTCCTGCTCAATGAGAATGATGGTTCTGCTGGAGCAGCATTAGGGTGGTCCTGCTAGAACAGCATGGAATGGGTCCTGCTGGGGTATTCCTGCTCAAGCAAGGTGGGATGGTCCTGCTCAAGCAGGCTGGTGATCCTGCTCAAGATGCACAAGGTGGCTAACTTGAGCAGTGTGGGATGGTGCTGCTCAGGCAGCATGGGATGGTCCTGCTTCAGCAGTGTGGGATGGTCCTCCTTTAGTATTGGAATGGTCCTGCTAGAGCACCATGGGATGGTCCTGCTTGAGCACCATGGGATGGTCCTGCTTGAGCAGTGTGTGGTGGTTCTGCTTGAGCACCATGGAGCCACTGCAAGTAGCAGGGATAGTTCCTCATGTCCTGCAGCATCCCAAGCAATGCATTCAAAGCCATGTCTTGTCCCTGTTGGAAATCCTTCACTGCTTGGGGAAGTCTCCCAAAGATGTGCGTGCACGAAGGGATCCCAGGGGAATCTGGTCGAGCTCCATGTTCCAAAATAGTTATTGCTAATACTAAATCAGGGCAGTGGTGACTTTATCTAGCTGAGTAACTGAAACCTTCCAAAGGCGGAGATCCTCCCCTTTCCCCAGTGACCAGTTCCAGCTTCACTAGCCCTAGGGAGAAGTGTTTCCTGATGTCAGGAAGGGCCCTTCCTGCTTGCATCAGGGGTGGCTGAGCTGGTGGTGGCCTTCCCGGGTCAGGAAGGAATGGGATACAAGGCAGGGGAAGGAGGAAGGGAAGCAGAAAATTGCAGCTGCAGTCAGATGTGCTGGGAGTAAAAGAGTGCAGGGAGGATGGAGGAGAGGACAAATGGGAGAAGCCAGGCTGGGAGAAAATTGGAGGTAAGGATGGAGTGGGAGATGAAGGAGAACAAAAGGACAGTGAGAGAGGAAGCTGTGAGCTAAGGAAGGAATAGGGAGGGGGTGGAGGGGAAATCTGTGAGGTAGGCAGGACACTTAGGGGATAAGGAGGGATGGGAAGATAGGGGGAGGTGGAGGAGCATGAGGAGAAATGGAGACTGTGGAGGCAAATGACAAGGAATGGTGAGATAGCCAGAGGTAAAGTATGAAAGGGACAGGCCAAGAGGTGAAACAGCAGGAAAAAGGACATTGGGAGGTGGAGGGTCACAGGAAGGAGAGACTCAGAGAGACTGAGGTGGAGGAATAAGAAGTATGAGATAGAGGATGAGGGAGAAGGTATGGGAGATGGTAGAAAGGACAATGAAGAGGAAAAGAGAGGCTGGGGAGGATGAAGAGACTGGACATATGGCAGGTGGTGGAGGAAAAGGAGGGAGAGGAGATGGAGAACGGAAAGGATGAGGAGACTGGGATATGGATGAAAATGACAGGAGTGATGAAGAGATCTAAGGGATAGAAGAAGATAAAGACTGGAGGGCAATGGAGTAGGATGGATGAGGAGATGGTGGAAAATAGCACAAGGGTGGGATTGGAAATGTGAGGGTGGAGGAGGAGAAGGCAAATTTGGGTGACGCAGTTGAGGGGATGGGGAAATGGTGGGGGGTGAGGGTGGATTTTGGGATGGGGAAGTGGAGGAAGTTGAGTGAGGAGATAGGAGGAGATAGAAGAGAATGAAGAAAGGTGTGGAGAAGATGAAGAGTGGAAGAAGTTGAACATGGGGTGGAGGTGGGAGCTAATGGAGGATAAGCAGGGACAAGATGATGGTAAGATGTAGAGGACTGATGGTGGGAGCTGAAGAAGAGATGGTGAGATGTTGACATGAATATGGAAAGCTGGAGGCAAAGCAGGATGAGGATGGATAGCACAGGGTGGAGGTGAAGAAGGAAGACGAGGAGATGGTGGAGGTGAATGAGGATAACAAGGAATGGGGTGTGGTGAATGAAGGAAGGGCAGGTGAGAGGGATGGGATGCAAATGTGACAGGAAGACTGGAAGGTGGATATGGAGGGCAATGGAGGAGCACAGGAAGCAGGGGTCGGAGATGGAGGGTGGTGGAGAAGAACAAGGAGGGAGAAGATGTAGTGTATCTTCCCAGGATGCAGGGAGAGTGGGAGGGGACATGGTGGGTAATGGAAGAGCATAGCATGGCAGGGAGGGATGGGACACAGCTGATAGCACACTCTGGAATGTGTGGAAGGAGAGGTGGGATGTGGAGGGATAGGAGGTCACGGGTGACTGGAGCACAAGAAGGGACAGGACATGATGGAGGATGCAGGAGGACAGGAAGGAGGGACAGGACATGGTGGCTGATGGAGGAGCACAGAAAGGAAAGATGGGACCTGGTGGGTGATGGAGGAGGGTGGCAGGGCGGGATGGGACACACTGGGTGACAGCACAGGAAGGAGGGATGGGTGGACAATGGAGGAGCAGCAGAAGGAAGGGTGGGACATAAAAGGAGGCACACAGGAGAAGGGATGGGATGTGGTAGGTGATGGAGCACAGGAAGGAGGAATGGGGTGGAGGGTGATGGAGGATGACAGGAAGGAGGGCTGGGCTGGGTTAGGTGGGTGATGAAAGAGTGGAATAAAGAGGGGTGGGACATAGGGGATCAAAGAGCAGGGATGAAAGAGCAGGGACGAAAGGGATGGGACAGGAAAGATGATGGAGGAGCAAAAGAAAGAGAGGTGGGTCACAGTGGGTGTTGGAGGACGTCAGGGAGGGACAGTTTAATGGAGTGAGCCTTGGAGGAGGCTGAGACCTGCAGGTGATCAGAGAATCACAAAATCGTGAAGGTTGGAAAAGACCTCTGAGCTCATGGAGTCCAACCAAGGGGCACAAGGACAAGAAGCCACGGGCAGTGATGGGAAAGGGGCTGTGGGGGGTGTGTGCAGGCTGGGGTGAGCTGGGCAGGCTGGGACGGGACATGAGAAACAGCAGCACCACACAAACAATGCAAAGCTGAGAGGAGCCTGGTGTGGGGTGACAGCACTGGCAGTGAGGCCATGGAGGACCCACCCACAGGTGGGTAACAAGAAGCCCTGGTGCTGTGGCACAGGCGGGGTCAGCATGTGGGGACGGTGTCAGGGAGAGAGGGGTGGGTGAGGAGAGGCTGAGACACCGTGTGTGGGCTGGGCATCAGGCAGGATGGTGGGGACAGAGGGACAGGATGCATCACCCCACATCTCCCTCTGCAGCATGGTTTCCCCGCCCCCAGCACGGGAAGGCAGCACCAAGGGTGTGGGTGAGGGGTTGCAGGACCTTTATTCATCACACAACAAGCAGGCATGATACAGGGGTGCAGGACAGGGTGGGCAGGGAGCCTGTCATCGGAGCACAAGGTGCCCTTCATGCGACCTTGGCATGGGCTGGTGAGAGGAGGCAGGAGGACAGGGCAGGGGCAAGCGTGGCTTTGCCCAAAACACCTCGGGCTTCACCCCAGGTTGGGCACTGGCATATGGGGAGGACAGGGCAGGGTCCATGCAGGGGCTGGGGTAGAATCAGCCACCTCCACACCTCAAATTTTCCCGACAAATCCCTTGCCAGCCTCGGCTCAGCCTCCCTGGGAAATGCCCAGCACTGCTATTTACAGAGTAAGACAGAACTGACCAATATTACAAATAATTAAAAGGCAGTTGTAAAAATGAGAAACCACATTCCAAAAGTAGAGGAGTCTTTAAAAAAAAAACAAAACAACAAAACCAAAACCAAACAAAACCAAAACCCCGATTTATCAATGAAAATGCTAAAAACCACCCCGAAAGGATCTATGTACAGCAGGAGATCGCCCGTGGCAGTGCTGTGGGACAGAGACCCGACTGCTCCCTGGCAAGGCAGGGACAGCGCCCGGCCCCGGCTGCTGGTGAGGGTGGGTGGCACCTGCCCTGTGCGTCCCCCACCCGCGTGACGAGGGTCCCTGTGGGGCCAGGAGCAAAAGGCCATCGGTGCTGGGCCTGAGGAGCCCTGGCTGATGCTGGTTTGTGTCTGGAGACACAGGCAGTGAGTGGCCGTCGCGGAGGTGCTGACGGAGGCTGCGACGTGGCAGTGATGCAGCCCCGCTGCTGCTGCTGCTGCGGGCAGCGAGTGGCTGGGCTGGACGGGAGAGGGCAGCAGCCTCGGCAGCACGAGCAGTTTGTAAGTGGAACTGCAGGATGACAATGTGCAGAGGCCCTGGGAGCAGTGTAAACACCCCCAGAGCAATGCACAGAGCCCTTGGAGCAGTGTACAGAGGTCCTGGGGCAGTCTACAAAGCCCTTGGAGCAGCGTACAGAGGTCCTGGGGCAGTCTACAAAGCCCTTGGAGCAGCGTACAGAGGTCCTGGGGCAGCGTACAAAGCCCTTGGAGCAGTGTACACGGCCCCAGAGCAACACACAGAGCCCTTGGAGCAGTGTATGGAGCCCCACAAGCAGTGTACAGAGGCCCAGAGCAATGCAGAGCCCTTAGAGCAGTGCATGGAGCTCCTGGAACAGTGTACAGAGCTCCAGAGCAATGCAGAGCCCTTGAAGCAGCACACAGAACCCCTGGAGCAGGGTACACAGCCCCTTGGAACAGTGCATGGAGCCCTTGGAGCAGTGTACAGAGCCCTTGGACCAGTGTACACAGCCCTAGAGCAATGCACAGAGCCCCAGGATCCACAGGCACCTGCAGGCAGCTCCATCTGGGTGAATCCCTGCCTGGCCCCTGGCAGGCAGCTCGAAAATAGGTCAGGCAGCTGCCTCAGAAATCTCTGCTCTCTCCTGGAGCTGCACAGAAGCACCAACGCTGCTCTGTGTGGGGCTGGGTCACAGCCCCCCAGCCCCAGGAGCTCTGCACTGCCGTGGGGGCTGTGGCTGCTGCCCCCTCCCTCCTTGGGTAAGGCTTTTTCTGGTGGTGACAGAAGGATGTGCAGCGCAGACCACGGGCCACGCTGCAGCCTCCCAACCCACAATCTCTTAATCCAATTGGTGCCTCTCCAATGTAGCTCATTTCGGTATTTTTAAAATGCACTTGGTTTTACATTGCAGGCTGTCCGGAGTTGGCCAGAGCCAGAAGTGGAGGAGAAAAAAAAAACAAACAAACAACAAAACAAGAAAAGAGAAAAAAAAAAAAGACGAGATCCACTTTTAACTAACCCTTTTCAG